CCCCCCCCCCCCCCCAGTTTCCCGTCCCAGCTAGGGCCTGGCCCCAATTGGGCGATCAGGGCCTGCTGGTCGCTGGTCACAGTCTGCGGGGTGATCAGTTGCCCCCTCCCCCCCCAACCAGCTCACTCAGTGCTTGGGAGCCGGGCGGCAGCCCCGCCCCCCACCGCCGCCACTGGTAGCTATCTGCAGGGCAATCGATCATGGCCTAGACCACTGCCTGGCTCCCTCCACACCTGGGAGCCAGGCGGTGGCCCCACCCCCAACTGCTGGTCGCCATCTGCAGGGTGATAGGGCTTCCACTCGCACCCGCCTTGGCCTGGCACCGCCTGCTCACCTGCTCCACCATCCCACCACAATCCCACTCTCCTTGGGGCCCACTGGGGCCGGCAGCACCTCCACTGCCACCCACTACCAGCACCGCGTCACCGACGCCCGCCATGTTCTGGGCTGCCCCTGGTGGTCAGTGCACATCATAGTGAGCGGTCGAACTCCCGGTAAAGGGGACAATTTGCATATTAGACTTTTATTATATAGGATTCTGAATACATTTAATAGGAAATTAATTAAAATGTAGAAATTCCATTAGCACTATAAGATTAAATGTAAGATAACATAAGCACTAAGTTGATACTTTATAAAATCTATCCAGAGCCAGTGAGTGAGCACAGGCCTATTTGGTAGCAGTAGGGGAGCAATGCCTAAATCAAAGGAACTTGTTTCTTCAGGCTCTTCTGGCAGTGATTCTGAGAATGAAGTTGACAAAAAGTGAAAGAGGAAAAAAAAAGTTACTTCAGAAAAAACTGTAAAGAAGCAAAAGATTGGTGAAACTTCAAGAGGCCTGCCATCTTCCAAGCAGAACTGCAGCAGCAGAGATAACAAGTTTCAGATTGGGAAGATGAGGTACGTCAGCGTTCGGGACTTTCAAAGAAAAGTCCTAATTGACACCAGAGAATATTGGATGGATCCAGAGGTGAAATGAAATCAGGAAGAAAAGGTATTTATTTAAATCCTGCCAGCTTAAGGAACAGATTTCTGACATTGATGATGCAATAAGAAAACTGGGAACTCAGAGCCATATAAAACCTGTACTGTTCCAGTTGTTTTAATCTGTCATTTTACATTGGCTTTTGTTTTTTAAACATTGTTTCCCCAGCTACTGTATATTTGGATTGCAGAACAATTGGTCAGAATATTTGTTTTAATATGCATTATTTAAAATGTTCTCAGTGAAGCTAATTGTCAACTTTATTCAGGGGGATTGCTTTGGGCCCATCACCTAGTGTAAAATAAAATCAAATAATACAATCTTTTCTGTTGTGGCCTCCTTTGATCAAAAGAATTCGTACTATTTAAGGCCAAAAGTTAACAGTTTATAGACCTTTTAATTTAAACTTGGCTTTTACATTCAAAAGGATTTATACTGTATTGAATTTATAAACTTGACCTCTGAAATTTATAGTTGATCTGTTTGCTTCTAAACAAACTAGAGGCACGGTGCACAACAATTTGTGCACTCGGAGACGGGGGGGGGGGGGCGGGGGGGCCCTCAGCCCGGCCTGTGCCCCCTCACAGTCTGGGACCCCTCGGGGGATGTCCAGCTTGTTTCATTCCTGCCTCCCTCTGCCCCCCGGCCTGGGTTGTTTCGTTCCCGCCTCCCTCAGCCCCCCGGCCTGCATTGTTTCATTCCCGCCTCCCTCAGCTGCCCGGCCCGGGTTGTTTCGTTCCCGCCTCCCTCAGCCTCCTGGCCTGGGTTGTTTCGTTCCCGCCTCCCTCAGCTGCCTGGCCTGCCCTCTCGCAGTCTGCGACCCCTCGGGGGATGTCCGGCTTGTGTTGTTTTGTTTCCCCTCCCTCCGCCGCCCAGCTTGTTTTGCTCCTGCCTCCGCCACCCAGCTTGTTTTCGGCCGCCTGGCTTGCTTCGCTCCCAGCCAGTATATGCAAATTAACCGCCATCATTGTTGGCGGTTAATTTGCATATCATGCTGATTAGCCAATGGGAGGTGTAGCGAAGGTACGGTCAATTACCATTTTTGGCTATTATTAAATAGGATGTCTAGGCTTTGATTTCCACCTCAGTGATACTTCAACTTTCCCCTTTTTAACTTGACCTTATTTTCCCTTAATAACTTGTCATGTTCTGTTTTCATTTTACTTTTTGCTCTTTTTCTTAAATATATTATGCTAATCTGGAAAATCAGTGAATCTGTCCAAATGTTAGTTATCTTAATAAGGTACTTGTAACTAAAATATTATATGAGAACTACAATCACTAATTCAACTGTATTAAATATTAGGAGATATAGTTTGATAAACAACATGCGTGGCTTGTATGAAAACTCTGAGCAAGTAAGCGTTATGTCATGACCTATAGCATTCTGTGTAGTAGTTACCTTATTGCTTAGTCTGCAGAAAATAATGACTTTGATGTCTGATTTGCTTTCATTTATTAAACACTAGAGGCCCGGTGCACAAAAATTTGTGCACTCGGGGGCGGGGGGTAGGGGGTCCCTCAGCCCGGCCTGTGCCCTCTCGCAGTCTGGGACCCCTCAGGAGATAATGACCTGCTGGCTTAGGCCTGCTCCCGGGTGGCAGAGGGCAGGCCCAATTCCTAGGTGCAGCCCCTGGTCGGGCTCAGAGCAGGGCTGATTGGGGAATTGGGGCGCCGCCCCCTGTCATGCACAGAGCAGGGCGGATCGGGAGGTTGCAATGCTACCCCCTGTCACGCACAGAGCAGGGCCAATCAGGGGGTTGGGGCGCTGCCCCCTGTCACGCACAGAGCAGGGCCCATCAGGGGG